TATCTATGTACATCCATTGTAAATATCTTCCCAATTCTGAAGTTTGGCTTTTTACTCTTTTTTTAAAAAAATATTTATCTAAGTAATCTCTATACCCAGCCTGGGGCTGAAACTCATGACCCCAAGATCAAGAGTCACACACTGTTTGGACTGAGCCAGCCAGGTGTCAGGTCTTTGGTCAGGACTAGGTCAGGACTTTGCCTTCCACCCTACACGAGATGGCAAGGCCTTGAGGGCTTTGAGGGGATCTGACATCTGTTTGAAAAAGATAGATCCCCCTGCTGGTATGTTAAGAGCAGTCGCAGAAGGAGCAGCCCAGGGACAGGTGACAGCCGCAATCCAGGTGGGAGATGGTGGTGTCTTGGGCCAGGATAGAGAATGTGTCAAGGGGAGTCATGGAGGTAAAAACTCACCGCCCACCCAAAAGCCTAGGCAAGTGCACCTTTTCAGGAAGAACCAGAACACAGGACAGGTATGTTGGTGGCGGGATGGGGGTGGATACACCAAGCTAGCGGAAGCCAATGCCCTGTCGTGGTTTTTGTTCCCCAAGCACTTGTGATCATCCGGCTACTCGGATAACCTGCTTCTAGGACGAGAATGTGCTGGTGAAATGGGTGCAAATATCCTCCCGCTCAACAATCATGTGTCTCATTGTAAGTCCAATCGGTACTCTGTCTTCTCTCCTGGTCTCCTAGGAGATTAGTTAAGACAAGTCAGCATCTCAGGGTCCTGCCTGACCAAAGACATGGCTGAGATCACTCTTCTTAACTTGCATGGCGGAGGGCTGGACTCTATATGAATTCGCCAAAATCAGTGCCACTTAGTAAAGCCTCTTAGTGACCCTCAGAGTTACTCAAGTATCCCATCACAGCCTATGGAAATGTGTATTATGGACTTTGTCAAAGGACTGGAGATTTGAATTAGTTATATAAAATAAATAAATAGGGGCGCCTGGGTGGCTCAGTCGGTTAAGCATCTGCCTTCGGCTCAGGTCACGATCCCAGAGTCCTGGGATCGAGCCCCGCATCGGGCTCCCTGCTCAGAGGGGAGTCTGCTTCTCCCTCTCCCTCTGCCTGCCGCTGTGCCTACTTGTGCTCTCTAACTCTCTGTCAAATAAATAAATAAAATCTTACAAAAAATAAATAACAAAATTTCAGCTAAATAGCTTTCATTCACTAATATTTATACATCTCTACCATGTGCTATGTACCTTCTTCATCTCTAGAGAGAGAGAAAAAACCAAAATCCCCACCCCTGTGGTGCTTACATTTTAGGGGGGTGGGGAAGAGACGATAAACACATAGGCTTATAAAATGATGTCAGTGCAAGCAGAGAAAAGGAACAGAGTGGAATGCCATCCAGAGGATGGTCTGGGGAGGCCCCTTTGAGGACATGATATTTGATCCAAGCCAAGGATGAAGTGAGAGTGAGCCACAGGGATACGTGTGGGCCGAGGATTCCAGGCAAAGTCCCCAAAGCAGACTGCGCTTGGCAATGAAGAGCGAAGTGAGGGGGCAGGGAGATCATGAGGGGTCAGACTATATCGGGCCTCGTAGGCTAAGTCGGGACTTTGCCTTCCACCCTACGTGCAATGGCAAGGCCTTGGAGGGCTTTGAGGGGATCTGACATCTGTTTGAAAAAGATCCCCCTGCTGGTATGTTAAGAGCGGTCACAGGAAGGAGCAGCCCAGGGACAGGTGACAGTCTTGATCCACGTGGGAGATGGTGGTATCTTGGGCCAGGACAGTAGTGTTGGAGGGGTGAGAAGCAAGCAGACAAGCTGGGCACATAGGATGCACTGGAGAACTGAGTGTGAATAAGGGAAAAAAGTGTCAAAGGTGACACCAGGTTTGGGGCCTGAACAACTGGAAAGATGGATTTGCCAATCCCTGAGATGGGGGCATGGGGGAGCAGCAGTGGAGGGGAGGGGCGAGTGTGCTTAGGAATGGGATTGGCCATGCTTTAGACATTCAGGTGGAGGGAAAAGAGGATTTCAAGGAGCAAATGATAAAATGCTCAGAGAGGTCAAGTAAGAATTCACAGTTGGATTTGGAGGTCACTGGTAACCTTGATCTAAAGAGGAACAGGATATTGGGGCCATGGCTGGAGGAGAATGCAGAGGGCTAGGAAGGTTTTTGCATTTTAATCTGTTTTTGTCTTGTTTCGTTTTGAAGTGTAGGAGCTAATTCATTAAGTTGGAAGCAAAGGGTGATGATCCAGAAGAGAAGGAGAAATCAGGCTGTGAGAGAGAAGAGACAGTTCTAGGAGCAGCATCTGATGATGTGAGACCGGATGGCATCCAGGGCACAAGTCAGGAGTTGGCCTCAGATGGAAGCACAGAAGGGAAACAGAGCTAGTTTGCAGAAGGAGAATAGAATGGCTCTTTTGATTGCTTGGGTTTTCTCAGTGAGCTAAAAGCAAGGTCATGAAATGTAACCAACGTGAAGGCATGAAAGGTAACTATTATAAAGGCTAATGACTTCAAACTTGAAGATGTGTTCTCTTTATTTATGTAGTGTTTTTGATTAAAATGTAAGGGTCAAAAGTAGTGCAGGGAAGCAAAAGAAAAAATAGGTAAATTGGATGTCATCAAAATTAAGAGCTTTTTTGCATTCAAGGGCACCCATCAAGAGAGTGAAAAGACAAGCCACAGAATAGGGGAAAATATTTGCAAATCATGTATCTGATAAGGGTCTTACATGCAGAATATATTAAAAACTCTTACAGTTCATTAGCAAAAAGACAAATACGAAGTGAGCAAAGGACTTGAATATACATTTCTCCAAAGAAGATATACAGATGGCCAGCAAGCATATGAAAACATGCTTAGTCACAGTGTGACATCACTTCAGACCCATTAGCATCACACACACACACACACACACACACACACACACACACACTAACAAGCGTTAGTAAGGATGCAGAGAAACTGGAATCTTCATGCATTGCTGGTGGGAGTGGAAAATGATGCAGCTACTGCAGAGAGGTTTGGCGGTTCCTCAGCAAGTTAAACATAGTATCGGGTGACAGCAATGCCACTCCTGGGTATCCGCCCCCCAAAATTGACACCAGCTGTTCGAACAAGAACCTGTACACAAATGTTCACAGCAGCATTATTCACAGTATCTAAAAGGTAGAAACGACCCAAATGCTCCATCAACGAATGAATGGTTAAACAGCACATGGTGGGATATTATTCAGCCACAAAAAGGAATGAAGCCCTGATAACACGCTATGGCATGAACCTTAAAAACATGCTAGTGAAAGAAGACACAAAAGGCCACATATTGTGTGATTCTGTTTACATAAATATCCAGAAGAGACAAATCCGTAGAGACAGGAGGCAGATTAGTGGTTGCCAGGAGCTGGGTTGAAGGGATAGTACGGGGGACAGGATTTCCATCTGGGTGATGGAAAGGTTCTAAAACTAGGTAGTGGTGATGAGTATCCCGCACTGTGTGAACCAGACTACAGCCATCTTGGGCAAAGGCTGACAGCTGACAGGCGGACAGCTCTGTGACCTGAAGCCTTCTCAAGCTCAGTCCTTCCCTCACATTCTTTCCTTTTGTTTAACCACACCCTTAAGTGTGCCTTTAGGGCATAAGGTCCTTGTTGTGCCCAGGAATTAGGATTATGACACACACCTATTCTTTGTTATTGTTGTTGTTTTAAAAGGGGAGGAGGCGAAGAAACAGGGAGAGAATCTCAAGCAGGCTCCATGCCCAGCAGAGCTCGATCTCACGACCCTGAGATCATGACCTGAGCCGAAATCAAGAGTCAGATGCTCAACCGACTGAGCCACCCAGGTGCCTCAACCCACACCTATTCTCCCATTGGGTGGACTCCCAGCCCCTAGGACAATAAAAGCAGCTCTTAAGGGGGTGGGGGTGGGGTTTCGGGGATCTACTCATCTTGGGGCTACTCTGAGACACACTTCTGTTCATTAGTCTCCTTAATAAACCATTTCTTGTCAAGCTGGACTTGTCAGCCTTTTTCTGTGGTCTTCCTGCCGCCTAAGCCTTCGGAGGTTGTTTTGCATTTAACTCCCTTTCATGGAACAAACACAGTGAATGCACTTAGTGTCACTGACTTTTACACTTTAAGATGGTCACAATGGTAAATGTTACGTTGTATGTATTTTACCATAATAAAAAAAACAGTGCAGTTATATTCAGATTACGTTATTTAAAGAGATGAAATAGATTTTAATATATTTTTCACTCAGGGTAATTTCTCATTCAGTGTAATTCTAGAAATGATGGGATTTTTCAAGCTAGAAAAGACCATAGAGATTGATGGCTTATGCCTATATTATAAAGTTTGTTGAAAATATTCAACTTTTATTTATCCCAAATATTTAGGATCATTCATTCTGTTATGGGATTTTTTTCTACCAAGAGGTTTACAATTCTCTCTCTGACTCATCGCTTAAGATACTGACACTGAACTCAAAACTTAACCTAGTGGAAGCCAATGACATCTGACTCAGTGTGAGTCAACAAAGCATAAACCATTTTCCTTTCTTTCTAACCCCATTGGCATGCAACAGTAGCAGACTGTGTAAAGTCATTAGCCTATGTGTTCAAATCATATATAGTCTAATTTTCTTCATGCTATAAATTACTGTAAATCCAAGTGTGCAGAACACTTTGACTAAGAATGAAACATTAAATCAATATCTGTCCCATGAACTATGCACAGATACTTTATCAATTTACCTTTCAAATAAAGTTCTTTAATGAAGTCACTCATTGCCATCAGCTTTTTATAATGACTCTACCTAATAAAGTATTTGTAAAAAAAAAATTATGAAGTATTAAGAAAAAATAACAAAGTATTTGCCTGTGGGGAAAACAAAGAATTTCCCAAAAATAGGAAAAACTTTTTTTTCAAGTAAATTTTCTTTTCTTTTTTTTTTTTTCAAGTAAATTTTCAAATTACACTTGTTAACCTCATCTCCATCTCTGTAAAGGTATATCACACACGATCTTGAAAGTTTCACTGCATTTCAGGATTGTTCTTGAAGAGATACTCTGCCTATAATTGAAAGAAAGGCAAAAAAGACAAGTCAGTTGAGAAGACACTACTACTAATGTTAACAATTCAAAAATAAAAGTACATAAATCCTTACTTTTTTTTTTTTTTAAGATTTTTATTTATTTACGGGCGCCTGGGTGGCTCAGTTGGTTAAGTGTCTGCCTTGGGCTCAGGTCATGATCCCAGGGTCCTGGGATCAAGCCCCGCATTGGGCTCCCTGCTCCTCTCTCTCTGTCAAATAAATAAATAAAATAAAATAAAAAAATAAAAGTACATAAATCTTTACTTTTTTTTTAAGATTTTATTTATTTGACAGAGAGAAAGACAGCGAGAGAGGGAACACAAGCAGGGGGAGTGGGAGAGGGAGAAGCAGGCTTCCCGCGGAGCAGGGAGCCCGATGTGGGGCTCGATCCCAGGACCCTGGGATCATGACCTGAGCCCAGCAGATGCGTAACAACTGAGCCACCCAGGCACCCCCGTAAATCTTTACTTTCAAATGAGTAAGAAAATCTTACTATAAACTGTGAAGGTCTTAGAGGCTATTTCCCAAATAACCAGACACACAATTTCTCTATCTCAACTAGCTTTCTGTTTAGATTCAGGCATCTTTTATTTTCAAATTGATATTAAAAAAAAAAAAATCTTACCAGAAAATCAACAGGATCATCCGGTCTGACCTTACAACACTCATTCAGCCCCTCCATCAGTGTTGGCATAACGTGGGTCATTAAATAGTTTCTCAGGGGAATAGACTGGGCCTCTAGTAATTCTCTTTCTTCTCTTTTCACTTCCTCTAGTCGTTTATTCTACAAATAGAACATTTGGGGGTTGGGGTAAACAGACAGAAAGGGGAGAACACTTTCACCCGATTCACCGCAGAGTTAATTAGAGCCGGATACCGCTGTACGTGGTCACCACATTATGATAGAGATGGCATTGCAAAGAGCAGATGAAAGATGTAAATGGTGTTATAACAACTGCTTCATAATCTAGAAAATATGAAACTGGATCCCAAACTCACTTCTTAAATCAAGATAACTTTTAGCTGCCCAGATGAAGAAAGTAAGAATGGGAAGGAAGGAACGAAGGAAAGAATCACAGAAGTGCTGATAGAAAGTCCAGAAGGTATTCATTCATCTGGTGGACGCGTGTTATTCCTTGCTCAGCATATGGTCCCTCCTCTCTGGGGAATAGTAATTTCCAGATTTCCTTTGAGAAGTCTCCCTTCTTAGCCTGGTGGTTTTGGGGGGACTTAAGCCCATCAGTCCAGCCCACCTCCCGGCTGTGGATGTTAGTAAAGGATAAACACTTTTATCAGGTAGAACCTAAGGATGATGCCAATGTGGAGGGCAGAGCAGAGATAGGGACCCCAGGTCCTTGGTAAAACCATCTGAGCCACTATATCAAGCCTTGCCTGAAGCCAGCCCTACCCGCCCTGGACTTTGATGTGAATCCGTAAGTTTTCTTTCTTTCTAAGCCATTTGGAGTTTGCTTTTCTGTCACTTGCAAGATAAAGAGTCCTAACCGGTATTATTTGTTTGAAAAGAGTCTTTCCCAGCAAGACAGCAAACCCAGAAATCAACATGGGAAGCAGACTGATGGATTTGACTACATACCACCATAGAACTTCTTTATGTCCAGAAGAGACACCATAAATGCTGCCGAAAGATAACTGATGAGTTTGAGAAAAACTATTTGCAACAGATTATAAAAAGCTAGGCTATCACAAGATGCACACAGTTTGCCAGGCACTGACCGAGGATTTATGCACATACTGACTCATCACCCTTGTCCCATCGCTCACCCCCTTCGCTGTATGAAGCAGGTACTATCATCATCCTCCTTTTACAGATGGAGAAACGGAGGCACAGAGCCACAAACTTAAAAGGAGAAGGAGCAAGAGTTGGACTCTAGCAACAAAGCTTGGGAAACCCTTGTCTCCTGAGGCCATCTGTGTTTCTATAGACTACACTACCTTATCAGGAGCTGTTCTTGCAGAATACTAAGAAAAGGACACACCACCCAAACACAAGCAGAGAAAACGTACAACGTAAGAAATAGAAATGCCAACGAACATAGGAAGAGCTGTTACGTGCCTGACCAGAGAGATGAATATTAAAGCAGTGGGTTGGGGTTTTGTTTATCAGGTTGATATTTTGTGAGCAAAATTGAGAAAGCAGGGTTAGAGGAAGTGTAGGGAAAGCCACTGGTAGACAAGGTGTGAGCTGCTTTACCTTTGCTAGAAGGTAGTTTTGAAATATATATCAAAAATTAAACCACCTGTAGTCTGATCTAACAAAATTCAGGAATTCGTGCTAAGGAGATAACCAGGCACCCAAAGATGTGTGCATAAGGACACCCTTCCTTTGTCGCCTCCTTCCTTCCACAAATATTTGTTGGGTGTCTGTTACGTCCCAAGCACTGTTCTTGGCATTGGAAATATGGTAGTGAACAACATAGACAAAAATCCTTGTCCTCATGTGATTTAAATTCTGTGCAAAGACAATAAGCAAGATAAATATATAAAATATATAGTCCATGAGAATAAGTGCAAAAAGAGGGAAATTGAGAAATATAAAAGGGGATATGACAAGTGGTGGGGAGTGGCAGGGGTTGACATTTTTTTTAAAGATTTTATTTATTTGAGAGAGAATGAGAGAGAGAACACAGAGGGAGAGAGAACACATCGAGAGGGAGAAGCAGATTCGCCACCGAGCAGGGAGCCCGACGCTGGACTCGATCCCAGGACTCCGAGATCATGACCCGAGCCAAAGGCAGACGCCTAACCAACTGAGCCGCCCAGGCGCCCCATGGGGTTGACATTTTAAACATGGTGTGCAGGAAAGGCTTCCTTGGAAAGATGGCTTTTTAGGAAAGACTCAAAGCAAAGGAGGAAGTTAGTTGCGCACACGGTGTGTTGTTGAAATGCATCAAGCCAGAACCTTGAGGGCCCCCAATAATGAGTTTGGACTTTGGTCTCACAGTGATGCAAGACTGTGAAGCGTTTCAACAGGGAATTGCCCTCGTGGATCCAGATGTTAGGAGGACGGCCAGTGGCAGCATGGGAACAGGAGGGAAAGGGACAGGTGCACTGTGGGGAGACCAGTGAGGAGGCGCCGTAATTCTGGTGAGAAACTCCGACCCTGACCAGAAGTGAGGAGCTGTGGGTGGATCTGAGTATGATTTTCGGAAGCAAAGTAGGTAAGACTCCGTGATTTGGGGAATTGAGACGGTGAAGGAGGCTGACCACCCAGGTGAGAGGGATAAATGGAGGAAAATCAGAGGAAATCCCAAGGTTGGCATGTAGCACCAGGGGACCCAGTTACAGGGATCTGGATTATCAATACTCCCGGCAACAGCTAGTTACTGTTATCATGATTATTTATCCCAAGCAAAAGACCAAGGGCACCTTTTAGGAAATGGTCATATGACAAAACAAAGAAACAAAAAACGTGCTTGGGTATTTCCATGACATTTCTCTTCGAGCAGGATGGGAAATGCAGCTGTCCTAAATGGCTTGACCCCCCCCCACCCCCAACCCATGCACACACTCACTCACCCACTCCTCCCAGCGAGCGATCTTCTCGGCCAACTCCACAGCTTCCTTGGCCTCCCGTTCTGCTTCGTCCATCGCCTCCTTGGCCAGGCGCTCCTCCACAGCCCTCCGCTCCTCTTCTGCCTTTTCTTCATCCGTTAAACCATAATTTCGAGGCTCCCCGATCTCTTTGATGAGCTGTTTGATGGCCAGTCTGTTCTGAGGGTCTTCAAGTTTTCCTACATCTTTAAATACCAGGAGAGAGGAAGGAGATCAGCACACACGTACATTCTGCAACATACTCTGAGATCACATTCCAGAAAATTCTTTGTTCCCATAAACATGTTATGGTACGTTATGGAAATAACCACATTGGGCCTTGCTGTTCCAGTGGCCAGCATGGTTTAGGATTTCTTGGCTCACTGGCAAATATCAGCGCTGTGGCTGGGAGTCCCAGGGCTGGAAAACTGGGGCTCAGTCTTTGAGCTCTGACAGCACTGATTTTGAGTTGGGGTGGGGGCGGAAGGACCTCCTCAAAAAAAAAAAAAAAAAAAAGAGTTATCCATCCCTGGAAGCATCCAAACAGAGAAAGATGTTTCTATGGGGGTTTCCACAGGAAGAAGTCCACACTTGTTGAAAACCAGATAGGATTTCCTCCATTTCTTTCTTTTTTTTTTTTTTCTGTTTCTGAGGCTCAGTGATCCTGGGATACATTTCCAATTCATAAGAAAAACAAACCATTTCAGTTAGCCTACTTGAATAGGGAAAAGTCCAGATTCCAGAATATCTGACTAATGTTAACATCAAGACCAAAAAAAAAAAAAACAAAAAAAACCCCACAGCAGCTTCTTGGTAAACAACGGGTTTCTCCACAAAGTCACTCAACACTAAATTCTACACTACTCCCTTGGGTTTGCTTGGAAGGTGCCCCCATGGAAGGGTGTGCAGTGGATGATTTTGGTTCTCAGCCCCTCAGACCTTCCTAGGAGTAAGGTTCCTCTCACCCTGCCCCAGGCACAACCACAGCCATGCCCGCTCCCTATGTTCCTACAGTATGACCTTGACCCAGACTAGAGGCACCTCTAGCTTCTGCATGGGAAGAGGGGAAGAACTGGGTCAATGTATCACTTGGTGGGAGGAAGCCAGCCCCCAAAAAGCAAACAAAACCAAAATAATACAAAACTCATATATTCCACTTATTGCCTGTGCTCTGACATTTAAATGTATTTCTCCCGATTTCTCTAACAGAGTAATTACAACTTGACGTGCTCGAAAGTGCTCTGAAGCACTTTTGAAGAGGCTCACGTTTGGATACTAGTGCTGCCCAAACCAATGCTTCTGCCCTGACCCTGGGACAGGGGAATTGCTGATTGGGGGTGGGAGCCTGCCCAAACCATGACCTTGGATTTGCCCTTCTAGGGATGTGTTATCAGGGTGGAAAGTCTAGCTCTAGGCTTGGCTCCCAGGGTAGAAACTCCTGGGTTGTGGGGCAGCCCCAGTTCACCATGTGGGTGATGGAGGAGAGGTGATGGTCCAAAGAGCTGGAAAGAAAGAGACTCCAAGAGAGAAGAGGAGTCCAAAGGTGCAGGGAGAAAATGTAGGTGCCAGCCCCATTCCTGATCCTTCTGAGGCTGGTCTGTTTTCCTGACCTTGACCCCTCTCCCACACCCATCCCTAAGATCCATTTCTCCCTTCCCTTGTACGTCATCTCCTGCTTGTCTGGGGTAGAGATGAGGCCAAATGTGACGGGCAGAGAATGAGACAGGAACGGGCACAGAATGAGACAGGAACGCAATGACCACTCATCCACTCCTCCCCCCTCATTTCTGTCTTTCTCAACATTTCTCCCCGGGGCTCTCCTGATTTTTCCATAAATACCTTTTTGAGCTTTACTGAAAAGATGGCAATCACTGTTTTTGTGCAATGTGCTCACCGTTCTCTCCCAGTTCTCTAATCAAATAGGGTGAGCTACTTTCCATAAGTAGATTCAAATCCTAAGGTTTTACGTGGAAAACGTGGGTCCGGTGTACAGACACGTCCAGATGAGGACAAAACCCAACTGTTTCCGCGGGTGCCAAATGGATTTTGTAGATTTACAAATTGCATTATCTTTTTATTGCTTAATAGCACGCTATGTTATGCCTTAGTAATAATAAAATTAGTTACCACATGTTGAACTTCCCAGTACTCCAGACACTTCCTGTCTATTATCTCTGCATTTGGAACAACTCTATAAGCCAGGGGTTATTTTCCCATTTCACAGATGAAAACACAGATGAGCAGAACCAGTCCTGAAATCAGCTCTCCTGCCTCATGCAGACATCGTTCGTTGGTGCTACACCTCCCAGGACTCCAGGGTCCAGATGCTGTCCCATCTGGCTCTTGAGTGCAAAGAGAGACCCAGAGAGACCCTCAGGGGTTCAGCCTGGCCACTAAGCTGCCACCAGGCTAGGGGGTTCTCATCAAACCCAGGGGAGGAAGAAATGTCAAGATCCAGGAAGCCAGAAAGGAAGTCTAGCGGTTCACCAAAGCCCAGGGAAGTAGAAACATCTATGACAGCTGAGATTTGGAGCCAGGAACAATGACGCCACGGTGAGGTTGATGACAGCTCCTATTTACTGAGTACCTGCTGGGTGCTAAGATCTGAGTTCAGTGTTTACTGGAAACAAAGAGGAATGCAATGAAGAACAATTTGCTTTCTGAGTAGCAGTGTGTGTGTTGGGGGGCGGGTGTCAGATGGCTGGGATAAAGGCCAGGAGGGGCTCTATGAAGAACACCAGGGCCCTACAATGCTACAGGGACAAAATGCTGCCCCCAAGGAAGCTGGGAGAATGCCCCAAAGAAGCCAGCAGCAGATATACATATCTTTGAAATGTCCTTTAAAAAAAGTGCCAATTTGGTATTCGATTTCATAATATATGTATATGTTTTCGTATAACAATACCCAACACGCCCCCCAACACACACACCAAATCCTCAAGTAGAAGGACTCCCCAGGAGGAGGACTCTGTTTATCCTGTGACCTCCTGGCCCCAGGGACATAGCTCTGCTTTCCCGTCCCCGCCCCAGCCCTATGACAGACAGGCAGCAGGGGTGCCTTGGGTTGGGGGGGCGGGGTCCTGACACTTGGCAGTGGTTCTTCACATTCACCTTAGTCCTGAGCTCGTTTCATACCAATATGTATCGGGTGGATTTCAATCTCATCGAAATAGTTGATGACAGTCTCATCTTCAGTATTGAGGTCCCGGTAGTTACTCAGAGCCCGGAGGAAGCGGTCCTGGCTGTAATGGGTCCCCGCCACGATGCTCTCAGGAAGGTTCATCACCCGCTCCTTCAGGAACTCATCCGAGGCATCCAGCACACAAACGAACTCTGGGGAGAGAGAGAGAGGCTCCTGAGTTAACCCAAGGATGAAGGGGCTAACTAGCAGGTGCTGGTGGCCGGACCAGTGCTTAACCCGAAATGTCCAGTTATCAGAGACCTCATGACAAATTGGCCTCCTTGCTGCCTCTCATGGAACATACGTAGATACAAATCACCGACATTTCCAAACACCACCCGATGAGGCCCAACCAGCTGGTATTTTGTGAGATCTGTTATTTTTCTATTTTTTCCCTCTTTCTTTCCTTCCTTCCCTTTTAAAAAAAGCAACAGAAATTGGAAATAGCAAATCTTTAATGACAAAAAAAATAGCAAATCTAATACCAAATAGCAAATAGTAGCAAATCTAATCATCGAATAACAACAAATCCGGTAAGAAAAAGCAGCAGAAATCAGAATTAGCACATCTCTGATAACCCTGTGGCATCAACCGCCTCCCAGTCAACCCCCACCCCGCCCTTTTCCCAGCACAGCATCACGGGCTCCCAAAGAGACTAGCGGCTGAGCAAACTGATGGCCAATTTGGCAAATTAATAAAAACAAGGACTCCCCTTGGGATTTCAATTTCCCAAGGATCCAGCTGTCTTCTAACTTAATGCACTTGGCTAGGAAGCATCTGCCTTCCATTCAACAGAGCGCTTATCTGATGTTGGACACGGGGATCAGATTAATGATGGGGATCATTTCACCCACCTGTGATTTTCTTTTTCTTTTTTTAAAATATTTTATTTATTTATTTATTTGACAGAGAGAGTGCAAGCCCAAGCAGGGGGAGTGGCAGGCAGAGGGAGAAGCAGGCTCCCCGCTGAGCAGGGAGCCCGACGTGGGGCTCGATCCCAGGACCCTGGGATTATGACCTGAGCCGAAGGCAGACGCTTAACGACTGAGCCACCCAGGCACCCCCCACCTGTGATTTTTCTTTTAAACTATGAAAGCAGCTGTTTCTCCAGCTTCTTGTATAACTTCAGTGGATATTTGTTGAGGGAATGAATGGTTAAAGTGCACATCAGTGAAATAGACTTTCTACGTGAGTTACTATTCTGAGAGGTTCTCAACACGGTCAGAGTACACGGGTGCCCAGATCATTAACCAGGTGTATTACAAATAACTTGCTACCTGTAAGAGTCTGGCAAAGCATGGTAACGGTTTAATTTTTATCCTAAAATTGTATTGGTTCCCTGTGGGCTAAATCCGGCCCATCATCTGATTTTGTAAATCAAGTTTTATTGGGACATTTAAAGATTAATTAATTAATTAATTTGTATTGGTTTGCCACATAATGATGCCATTTTCACTCAAATGCATTCTAATAAGATTTCTTGAGTGACTGAGAAAAGTCAGTGTATGGAGCAGAGCCCAGAGCAGAGTGTGCCTATGGGGCAAGTGGATGTCCATTGAATACCATCTACTTCGTGTGTTAACAGTGAAAATAAAGGTGAGGACAGAGCTTGTGGAACAAGATCCAATAAATTCATAACCAGGGCACCTGGGTGGCTCAGTTGGTTAAGCGACTGCCTTCGGCTCAGGTCATGATCCCGGGATCCTGGGATCGAGTCCCGCATCAGGCTCCTTGCTCAGCAGGGAGCCTGCTTCTCCCTCTGACCCTCCTCCCTCTCATGTGCTCTCTCTCTCTCTCATTCTGTCTCTTTCAAATAAATAAATAAATAAAATATTTTTTTAAAAATTCATAACCATAGTCTGATGCTGCCACTATTCTGACCTATTTTAATTTAGTTTAGATGCTCATCTGTGATCATTTGATTTTCAGGAGTGGCTATATTTTGAAAAGGAGAGGAGAAAGCTGGACCTCCAAATGCTGGTAGAGTACTTGAAATTATGTCACTAAATTCACTGAAATTTGAATCTAGTTAAGCTCCATGACGTCAGGCATCTAGATGAAAAGTTAATGATTCTGTTAGTAATCTAAGAATTTTAAAATGCGATGCTGTATTTTTCTCCCCAGTGATTGGGAGAAGGAAGATTCCGGTTAATCAAGTACCATGAACAGTGAGTGATGTCCTTGGCTTCCAGATTTCAAAGAATTTTAGCGTGATGGAATATATTTCCCACTGGATGATTTTTTTTTTTTTTAAGTAAGCTCTACACCCAAGGTAGGGCTTGAACTCATGAGCCCAAGATCAAGAGTTGCGTGCTGTACCAACTCAGCCAACCAGGTGCCCCCAGATGATATTTTTATTTTTTTATTTTTTTTAAAGATTATTTATTTATTTATTTGACAGAGAGAGAGAGAGAGAGAGCACAAGTAGGCAGAGAGGCAGGCAGAGGGAGAGGGAAAAGCAGGCTCCCCGCTGAGCAGGGAGCCCAACGCGGGGCTCGATCCCAGGACCCTGGGATCATGACCTGAGCTGAAGGCAGCCGCTTAACCAACGGAGCCACCCAGGCGCCCCCCAGATGATATTTTTAAAAGTCCTTTCTCTCTTATGATTCAGACAGAACTTCAGGATTTTGCAGTACCTAGAGATAATTATTCAGAACATCTACTGTGCTGGGGAGCCTGGGTGACTCAGTCAGTTGAGCATCCAACTTTTGATTTCAGCTCTGGTCATGATCTCAGGATTGTGAGATCAAGCCCCACGTTGGGCTCCCAGCTCAGCTCAGAGTCAGCTTGGGATTCTCTCTCTCCCTTTCTCTCCGCTCCTCCCCCACTTGCGTGCTCTCTCTCTCTCTCTCTCCCTCTCAAATGAACAAATAAATCGCTTTTTAAAAGAAGGAATATCTACTGTCCTTGTACTGGCTAACTATGGATAGCAAGTAATAGATTTCTGCTTGGTAAGATTGTATATAACAAGGAGGTCACTGTGTTTGACTATCTAGAGTCATGTGAAAATCTGTTTTTTGTTGTTTTGTTAATGTTTTTTTTTAAGATTTGGTTTATTTATTTGACAGAGAGCGAGACAGCGAAAGAGGGAACACAAGCAGGGGGAGTGGGAGAGGGAGAAGCAGGCTTCCCGCTGAGCAGGGAGCCTGATGTGGGGCTTGATCCCTGGACCCTCAGCCGAAGGCAGACGCTTAATGACTGAGCTACCCAGGTGCCCCTGTTTTTTTGTTTTGTTTTGTTTTGTTTTAGATTTATTTATTTATTTGAAGAGGGGCAGAGGGAGAGAGAGAGAATCTCAAGCAGACTCCCCACTGAGCCTGACAAAGGGCTTGATCTCACGACCCATGAGATCATGACCTGAGCCAAAATCATGAGTTGGACACTTAAGCAACTGAGCCACCCAGGCGCCCCTGAAAATCTGTGTTTTAAAACATTTTTTCCATAGTCATCAAGCAGATACAACTGTATTTATTTATTTATTTACTTTCACTTTTTTAAGTAGGCTCCATGTCTGATATGGGGATCAAACTCATGACCCTGAGATCAAGAGTGGCAACTCAGCCAGGAGCCCCAAGCAGGTATGACTTTAAACTTGCCTGCTTCAACAACGAGATCTGAAAAGAACTGAATTGGATGCAGGCTAGCAGCAGTTGTAAAAAGCAATGATTTATCAAGGAGAGATAATACCACCTATGACTGGGTCACCATAGATTGAAATGTGTTATCATTCAAATCAAGCACGGAGACTTGTATTAATTAGATTTATTATTTTCTGTATCTTACGATGTTCTGACATCTCCGAAGGGAGTTACACACCTGGAGAGACACTGCCCCTTTCAGGACTAGCTAATTCCTAAAGACAGTCAACCACTTACTCAGGAGGATGGCCCTCATATACAAGATGACCACCCCCTTTTTATAACTCTCACGCACCAAACCAATATTTCCCTGCCTTAAATCATCCCAGAGCCAGGTACCAGGGAACCAGAGAGCAAAACCCACTGGGGCTGGCTCAAACTAGCCAATCCTCTAAAAAAAAAGCTGTTTACTCAGCCCTGCCTTGCCTTTCCCACAGAAACCCCAGTTAAGGCAATGGCTTAGCCTTCCCCTCGATGCTTCCTGCTTCCTGACCAAGCCTCGCACACTTCCCCACACGACCCAGCATGGTGCGGCACACCCCCTGCTCTGGGGACCCTGCTTTCAATGGCATTGGCCTCTCGTGTCCTCACTCAGCCTCCTCCCTGTACTCAAATCCCCCAGGGACAAATGAGACAATTCTCTCATTTCTTCCAGGAAGACAGAAAATAATGAAAATTTCCAGAAAGAGGATAACTATGAACAGACTAAACATTCCAAATAGATGACATGTTCAACCCGTTTGGACCACATCCAGCAGAGGAAGGGCAGCCCAGGGGACCACGCTTAAGAATCATTGACTGTTTCATGTGCGTGATTCCATTTCCTGAAGGGGTTTCATTAATTCTGTGTTTTGGAGGCAGTGGGAAGAGCAGACCGAGTTTGAATTTAAGCCATTCTGTGTACCAGGGAAGCGGTCTTGGGTAAGTCCCTGGGCTTTGGCTTCTGGATCAGGTAACCACGGAACTAATTCCAGCCTGGCAGGACCGTGCAAAGGCTCAAGGAATTCCTATCTCGTGCAGTTCTGGGCACATGACAGACGAATGGTTCATTGAGCTGCCCCAGTGAGAACATGAGGATTTACAATGCAGTTGGCAATCAATGAATATTGCCCGGAAGTGATAAACTCTCAGAAACCAGACAGATCTGGTTAATCGACTTTACTTTTTAGCTTTTGTTAAGCCCAATGCATACGTTCATGGGAAATCCAAGATAACCCACCCCCTTTGCTGTTGCAAGTTCCTGCAAGGCTTCAGGGCCCTCAGGCAAACAGTAAATATCTATCCCTGAGGATGACTGCTTTCTGGTGGCCCCAGTGCTTCCAGAAGCTTCATGGCAAGCTGTCATCAACTGACTCCCATGGGGACTCTGACGCAAGTGAGCTGCCCCCCCTTCGCCCCCCACCATTACGACCTCAGGCTCAGTTGCTGAAAAAAGCTGTTTTTGTGTTTCCTATGATGATACCGCACGCAAATTGATTAAAAAAAAAAAACTTGAAAAGTTCAAGGCAAGGTCACAAGAAATGCCTGCTGGGTACTCAGCAAATCCTTTTTCGTGGAATACATTGTTTATGCTTTACTTCCAAGAGGACATCGTGCAACGACTGTGTATTTACGTGGACAGTGAACCAAGACACTCTGCACCTGCCCAGCCTCAACCCTGGATTTGGGAAAGATGATGGCATGGCTAGCACCTAAAATGGTAGGAAGGGTCCAGTCCCTGGTCATCTTGCCAACTGACTCAGAAGTCAAGGCATTAGGGGACTGGCCACCCAGTGCTTTGTTCCCGGAGGGAGCAGCAGAAACAAACATTCTCAAAGAGACTTCTGTCCATTTCAGAACTTAGTATTCCTGTATTCCTGATTGCTGCCCCCCATACATTCCCTAGCTTGAGAGTTTATGTTTAAGGGTATCGTTTTCCCTTTTTCCCTAAAAAAAAAAAGAGAGAGAGAGAGAGAAGGAGAGAGAGATCTGTTTTACTGACATCGAAAAGATGGTTTGGGTGCAAAATGGCATTCCCCTAAATATGACCTTCAAGAAATATTTTAAACTTACCAGGTATGATTAGTTTATCAAAGGGAAACATTTTGCCTCTGACTTCTTCTTCTTCCTCCTCATCTTCTTCTAATAAAAGAAAATATACATTGTTGTGTTTATTACATGCTATCACTATGGACAGCTTGGCAAAAAATTAAAATATTTTAACTAGAAGTTAACTAGAAAACTAACCAATAATAGAAAAGCCTGCATTTTAGACACAGTCTCTCTGATTTTTAAATTTTAACTGAGTGACTATTACTACGATACATTGCAACTTAATCTGAATGTAAGGAGGGGCGTCTGGCTGGCTCAGTCCACAGAGCATGTGGCTCTTATCTCAAGGTTGTGAGTTCAAGCTCCACATTGGGGGTAGAGTTTACACAAAAAAAGAAAAGCTTAAAAAATAAAATAAAAAATAAGAGGAATACTCGAACTTACGATTGAACAGGTCTTTAGCTTGATCATAGGTCTTTGGGAATCCATCCAAAATATAACCTTGATTCCTGCAAGGCATAGATTTCACCTTTTCTTTGATAAATCTAATTATATATTGATCTTCTAGTCGGCCTGGTAAGAAGAAAAAAAAGAAAGAAAGAAAAAAGAAAAAAAAATATATTACTAGGGAGTATTACTACATTCTACATGGCGGTTACATTCCAAAGCCATCTCAAAATTTTCCCTTGAAGTTACAAATACGTGGTTTTGTATTTTGAACATGACACATGAACTGTAATGCACAATAAAATAGGAGAACCCAATGAGCTTGTCTGCAATAAAGACCAGAAGCAAATGCTGATGTCTGCAATTCCCAAATATTCTTCTGGGTAAAGTCACAACTTCTGGATGAAGCAGAACAAGGAGCAAGTGGAGATGTCCCGAGTGTTCCCACTTGCCAGCAGGGTTCACTCAATTCTGTTTTGATATTATGCCTTAATACATAGCCTTATAGCCTTAAGACATAGTAATAATAGCCTTAATACATAGAAATAAATGTTTCCATTGTAAGATTTAAGTGAGATAGTATTCACGTGTTAACACACGACTTATTATTAGTGTAACAATAGTAATAAATATTTGCTGCATTGGAATAAAAATCAAGCTTGGGGTGCCGGACTGGCTCAGTTGGTAGAGCATGCAATTGATCTCGGGGTGGTGAGCTCGAGGCCCACGTTGGGTGTAGAGATTACTTAAAAATAAAAAGGAAAAATTAATTAAAAAATAAAAATTGAGCTTGATCTGACTCTCAAAGGCATGGCTCTCTTTAAAGCTGCAGGAACGAACGCCCTCCCCACCCCGGGTCTCTCCAAATCTGCATTCCCGACCTTGGCCCCGCTACACAGTTCTTTCTCCAGCCTTGGAGGCTGGATTCCGGCGGTTGCATGGCATCGCTGAGGAGGGAGGAGTCTGTTCTAAAACGGGCACAGTGGTTAAAGGACGATATGATACAGCTTCGCTGCAATATTCATATATTATTCTATTGTAATCATCAAACAGCTACCGTTTCTGAGACACGACCCTGCCCTTACGTTGCTTAATGTGTGCGTTACAGTATGGTGAGTTTGGCAACTTTGAGTAATTGATCTACAAAGCTCTTTCTAGGGTTATACCATACTTTTAGTTTATCAATGGGTCTACAATATAAAATAGTTTTGGTCTCTCTTTTTTTCAATTTTGTTTTAGAGAGGGAGAGAGAATCTTTTTTTTTTTTTAAGACTTTATTTATTTATTTGACAGAGAGAAAGCAAGAGAGCACAGGCAGGGGGAAAGGGAGAAGCAGACCCCCAGCTGAGCAAGGAGCCCTACTCCCTCAATCCCAGGACCCTGAGATCCTGACCCAAGCCAAAGGCAGACGCTTAACCGACTGAGCCACCCAGGCGTCCTGGGTTTTGGTGTCTTTTAATCACTGTATTCATGACAATAAAATAATGTCATTAAAACACCTCTTCTTTCTTCTACCTCCCATTGCCACACAACTCATTAGGCAGGAACTGATTCAAAACTAATTGCATCTTCCAGAAATTTAAATGTTAGGGCTGAGACCAAAAAAAAAAAAAAAGAAAGAAAGAAAGAAAGAAAATCAAAGGCATTATTTCGCATAATGAAATTCCTCGAAATGATTTGACATTATTTCTCAGTAAGGTTCACTGTGGTGCAAAGAAATAAAGCCAAATAAAATGTCGAGGGATTCAGCAAAATTCGAAGACGAGTTTTATCTAAGCAGTCTATTTCTGATTTTCAAAGGTTCTGTTGCTGAGGCAAAGGCACATACATGCTCAGAAATCAAGCTTCAGGCCCCTCCATGCATCCCTTGGTTGATTTCAGCCAGCCAGCTTTGCCGTTCACTCCTGTTTGTGTTACATACGTCTCCCTCCCCCCAATTTTTCATTTTTTAAAAGATTTTATTTATTCTTTTTTTTTTTTTTTGGTGCAAAATGGTGGTTTTATTAAAGCATGGGGACAGGACCTGCTCAGATTTTATTTATTCATTTGAGAGAGAGAGAGAGCACAAGCCGGGGGAGCAGCAGAGGGAGAGGGAGAAGCAGACTCCTTGCTGAGCAGGGAATCCCACTCGGGGCTCCATCCCAGGACCCCGGGATCATGACCCGAGCCAAAGGCAGATGCTTAATGACTGAGCCACCCAGGCGCCCCAATTTTTATTTTCAAACTCACAGAAAAGTTGAAAGACTAGTCCAATGACCACCTGGAACTCCACCAACCAGTTTCAATAATCCCACAGTGCTTTTGAAACACATAAACGGAGCCCAAAGAATCGGCAACCTGGTGCATTCCAGTTTAACCAAGCTCCCGTTTTGGCTGCATTGTCGGGGGCCGACTGGAGTGGAATCCTCGGGACACGGAGATGCCCCAGGGCGGGATTGTGAAATTGGTCTCGCTGGAATCGTTAGTTATTTACTAACAAATTGGGTCATGCGAGGGGAAAGCGAGCTGACCTCTGTCCTTGCTCGGGCGGTGTAATTTCTATGTTAGGTCTGTGCAGGGAGCTCAGAGGTCTTGTTTCGTCCAAACATAAGGTCCGCATTCTAGTTTTAGGTAAATACGAATAGGAAGGATTTGGGGGCAAACTTGAGGAAGAAAAACAAACAAACAAACAAACAAAAACAAAAAAGAAAAACCTTCCTAAGGTTAAAGGGGACTGAATGAACTATTCCAATCTTGGGGGGGGGGCGGACGGTGGCTGCAGGCCACTTCCTCTGTACTCTTCCAGGGCCCCTCGGGGCAGAGGCTGTTGACCCAGCGTGGCCTCTCTCTTTTTTTTTTAAGATTTTATTTATTTATTTATCAGAGAGAGAGAGACAGAGACGGAGAGAGAGCATAAGCAGGGGAAGCAGCAGGCTCCCTGCTGAGCAAGGAGCCCAACGCAGGGCTCGATCCCAGGATCCGGGGATCATGACCGGAGCTGAAGGCAGACGCTCAACTGACTGAGCCACCCAGGCGTCCCCGGAGTGGCCTCTCTTTACATTTGGGGGCAGAACAGAGTCGGCTGCCAAAGACAGGGCCCTTCTTGAGCTTGAGCAGAGCAGCGACACACTTTGGATACAATTTTTGGGTTCTTGCAAAGACCAATTACATGTCTCTGTCCCATAAATATTGTCCAGGGTTTGTTTCATCCCATTAGCCTGAATCCTAGATGCTCTTCCCTCTCCTCTTGGGGTGGTGGTGTTCACTGCTCCCAGCGCCCTGCTCTGGCCTTAGCTCTCAGGCTTACGGTGTATACACAGGGCCGTGGACACCTGTAGATTCCTTACCATCCCAGCCCTCCACCCTCTCCTGTGGCCTTGCCAGATTTCCCTCCCCAGGCATCCTCACAGCAGAATGTCTTATCTTGGGTGGTTTCTCCTTCCCTGAGTGGTGGGAGCCAGAATGCTGGTAGTCTCCCTAAAACCAGCATCCTGGCTCCCACGTATTTCACAGGGGAGGCAGAGGCAATGTTTTCTCTCAAAGTATTAACCTGGGTTTTCTACAGTCAGGAGAGCATGCTACTCTTGATCTCGAGGTCGTGAGTTTGAGCCCCGTGTCAGACATAGGGATGACTTAAAAAAAAAAAAAAGTTAAAAAAAAAAAAGGGGGTCACCTGGCTGGCTCAGTCAGGAGAGCATGTGATGCTTGATCTCAGGGTCATGAGTTCAAGCCCGACGTTGGGCGTGGAGCCTACTTACTTTAAAATAATAATAATAAATAAATAAAAATTTTTAATTAAAAAATTTTCTAAAAATACACTGGGTTTTCTGTGTACCTTCTTTTTCCTCTGGGACATCTCCGGGATTCTAAATTCCATTTCCTCCTGGCCCAGCCCATACCAAAGCAGAAACCAAGACACAGATAATCAGCTACCTGTTTGAAGTGGACATCCAGTGTGTGCATACAAGCCCACGTTCTCCACCCCTAAACACCAGACTGGAGTGGCCTGGGGCAAGGAGAGGTGGGGGAGAAGTACCTTCAGAGGAAGCCATGGAGACACTAGAATTCTTGAAGACGAGTGGCTGGGGAGAGGACCACCTGGAGGGACAAAGGGCCTGTGCTAGAAGACCAGAGGTGGGGAGGGCAGTCAAGAGTTGTGCCCCCAGCAATGCAGTGGGCGGTCCTCGGTGGGAGGATCTGTGAAGGGCAACACCGGGAAGGAGCCATCTGTCGTCGCCCAGGCCTGGCTTACGCCTCTGTCCTTCTTCCCCGCTTCCCACCCGGCCAGCCCAACCCTGGAGGATCAGAAACAGCCACCAGCAAAGATGAGAGGAGGAGGGGGTAAGTGGAAAGAAGCCAAACGAGCTTGAGGGGGTGACAAGGGGGAGAAACTCCGTTGGATCAGAGTCCAGTGGTCACGCGTTGGACTAGTCTATAGGTGATACCAGTAAAACCTGTTCGATGGAGGATCTCGACTATCTACATAAATCAGAATGAAGTGGTTTTAGTTTCCGAATAATTACACTGGTTTTCTGCCAAATAACCAGGTCCCTTGGAAATGTCTAAGTTCAAAACAGCTTGCAATCATTGATTGGCACGGACTTCTTAAAGCATGAACAAAGAGACTACTTACTTATTATCTAGGAGTTGCAATGGAACCAGCCTGAAACTCTGTCCAAGCGGGAGAGGGGAGAGAATGGGTCCCGAGTTTGTGTTTAAAGTGACCCCTCACCCCAGTGAGTTTGTTCAACAAACTGCTTACAGTTACCCAATGAGTAAGGATATTTTTCCACTTATTTGTATTTCTTCCTGAATGTATTATGGCTCCATGTTATTCATCCACTTTTTTTCTATTAAGGATTTAATGGTTTTCTTACTGAGCATTTTATACATTAAGGATATTAAGTCTTTATCATGTTAGCGGCAAATACCTTTTCCTGGTTTGTCCTTTGCCTTTTAATTAATGATTTTAAGATTTTATTTATTTATTTGAGAGAGAGAGAGATCAGGAGTAAGGGGGAGGGGTAGAGGGAAAAGCAGACCCCTTGCTGAGCAAGGAGCCTGATGCGGGATCAATCCCAGGACCCCGGGACCATGACCTGAGCCGAAGGCAGAAGCTTAACGAACTGAGCCACCAGGCACCCTAATTAATGATTTTTGATGCTTCTAAAATATATGACTATACATTTGGTCTTTTATTATTGTTAACTTGAGTTCTTTCCCATCCTATGATCAGATAGTCACCAAATATCAATGGTGATTTTTTCCTCCTGGGGAGGCGGGGGTGGGATTATGATTGAAATTTCTTTGTTATATGTTCTGTACTTTATTTATTTTTTTTAAAGATTTTATTTATTTATTTGAGAGAGAGAGAATGAGAGATAGAGAGCACGAGAGGGAAGAAGGTCAGAGGGAGAAGCAGACCCCCCGCTGAGCAGGGAGCCCGATGCGGGACTCGATCCCGGGACTCCAGGATCATGACCTGAGCCGAAGGCAGTTGCTTAACCAACTGAGCCACCCAGGCGCCCTGTTTTGTACTTTAAATAGCAAACAAGTAGTCTTTTATAACAAGGAAACAAAGCCTGTTAACAAGAGCAGCCCCGAGTTGGGCACGCTACCTGCATTCTGCTCCATGCTTTCTTTGATGCCATCCAAGAGCTCCTGTGCATCTTCCACATTCTCCTCCTCTTCCCCCTGCTCACCTTCTTCTTCCTCTTCCCCTTCATCCTTAAGTGTGACAATCGCCTCCTACATACCACAGGGATATTCAAATTGGATGATGCCCCGCACGGATCTGCTACTCGCAAAATCATCTGGCGCGTGATCCTGGAAAAGGCTGGTGTCCAAATAGGGAATACGCTCACCCACAGTCATTGTGCAAGTTGTCAGGATGCATATATCTACAAAGATGGTTGAGAGCCTCGAGGTTTTTCTTACTCTATTTTAGGAGAAGAATCCGTTTCTGTGTTAACACCAGAACTGCTTAAGAATCAACACTTTTTGGTGTCAGGTGATATCTTACTTAAGGAAACACATTTTGTACAAATTAAGACTTTTAGGAATCATTTAAGGAAATATACCATAGCAGCTACCATTTCCAATAAAATGATAAAAAGCAGTTAGCTGAGGGGAGGGTGGGATGAATAGGCAGAGCACAGAGGATTTTTAGGGCAGTGAAACTACTCCACAGGATACGATAATGGTAAGTACATGTCATTATATATTTGTCCAAACCCATAGGGTGTGTAACACCAAGAACAACTCTAAAGTAAACAATGGGCTTTGGGTGATAATGAAGTGTCCCTATAGGTTCATCAGTTGTAACTAATGTAACCATTCTGGAGGGGGTGCTGATAATGCAGGAGCTTATGCATGCAAAGGGGAGGGGATGTCTCTGTACCTACCTCTCAGTTTTGCTATGAACCTAAAATTGCTCTAAGAAAATAGTCTCTCTCTCTTTTTTTAGAGAGAGAGAGGAAGTGTGTGCGTATATGCAAGGGGGGAGGGCCTCTTAAGGGAGAGAGAATCTTAAGCAGGCTCCATACCCAGTGTGGAACCCAATGAGGGGCTTGATCTCATGACCTGAGCCAAAATCAAGAGTTGGATGCTTAACCAAATGAACCATGAAGGGACCCCAATAGTTTCTTTTTTTTTTTTTTAAGATTTTATTTATTTATTCATGAGAGACAGAAGGAGAGAGAGAGAGAGAGAGAGAAGCGGAGGGAGAAGCAGGCTCCCAAGGAGCAGGGAGCCCAATGAGGGACTCGATCCCAGGACCCCGGGATCACGACCTGAGCCGAAGGCAGACGCTTAACCATCTGAGCCACCCAGGCACCCAATAGTCTCTTTCTTTTAAAGCAGTTGATAAATAGTCTGATAATACTCTGAGAAACACACATCAAGAATAAAAAAAATCTAAAAAGATTGGGGTGCCCGGGTGGTTCAGTCAGTTAAGCATCTGACTCTTGATCTCAGCTCAGGTCTTGATCTCAGGGTGGTGAGTCTAGACCCCACATTGGACTCCACACTGGGCATGGAGCCTACTTAAAAAACAAAAACAAAAAAAACTAAAAATGTTCCAATCAACAGAGAGAATACAAGATATATTTTTTAGCAACAGCTGGAGACAGACTAAATTTCAAGGGCACCCCATGAAAGATGCTTCCATCGCACAGAGGAACGTCCTGTGGGATGCTCTGTTTTCATAACTGGGGACAACAACAAAATCCAATTAAAATAACAGATCTCTTTGCAGGATGCCACGTAAAATTAGTGCCTTCCTTATTACAAGACTAAGAAAAGCATTTTTAAGATATAAAAATTCCCAGTGAAGTAGTTAGAAATGTTACCAGTTTTGCTATGGCTTCAGAAATAACATCCTTCAATTTAATGTGATGCAACTTGTAGTGCTTAGACAAGGCTTCGGCAATACTGGATTTTCCCACAGCTGGAGGACCCAGAATGCAGATCTTGATTGGCTGCAAAAGAAGAACAAGGACCATCCAGTGATTTGTGAACAAGCTGTGGTTCGACAGAGTGTTTTTCATTTCAGGGGGTGCCTTTCCTGAACATCTTGGGGTCCTGCAGCCTAACTCTCCTCTGTCAAGTCTCTAGAGTCACTTCCTCCACAGCCAGCCTCTGTGGTCAGTGCCACATCATCCTCACAGCACTGCTCCCCAATCAGGGAGTGGCCCTTCCTGTTCATTCGTTCAGCAGGTACTTACTGAGCATCTACTATGTGCACCGACCAACCATGCGGGACACAACGCTCAATGAGATGTGCTCTGGACGTACGAGAAGTACTAAAAGAACACACTACTAAAAGTACTAAAAACAAAGTACTAAAAGGTACTAAAGAACAAAGTACTTGAGCATTACACACTACCATGTTACTCTTTTTAAAAAATTTTTTATCTAAAAATCAATTTTCAATTTAATTAACATATAGTGTACTGAAGTACTGAAGTACTAAAGTACTCAAGCATTACACAAAAGTACTAAAAGTACTAAAGAACAAAGTACTTGAGCATTACACACTACCATGTTACTCTTTTTAAAAAAATTTTTATTTAAAAATCAATTTTCAATTTAATTAACATATAGTGTACTGAAGTACTGAAGTACTCAAGCATTACACAAAAGTACTAAAAGTACTAAAGAACAAAGTACTTGAGCATTACACACTACCATATTACTCCTTTTTAAAAATTTTTACTTAAAATTCAATTTAATTAACATATACTGTATTATTAGCTTCAGAGGTAGAGTCAGTGATTCATCAGTTGCATAGAACACTGGTACTCATTACATCCCATGTCCTCCTAATGTCCATTCTCAATTACCCCATCCCCTCACCTACCTCCCTTCCAGCAACCCTCAGTTTGTTTCCTAGAGTTAAGAGTCTCTTATGGTTTTTCTCCCCTTCTGATTTTGTCTTATTTTATTTTTCCTTCCCTTACCCTATGTTCATCTGTTTTGTTTCTTAAATTCCACATATGAGTCATATTACTCTTACAAAGACAACAAAGACATAGAATTTCTGGTCCAGTGTGTGGGGGCTTAGATTATTGCCTCATGAATATTGTTTCTGGACTGACTGGGTCTTTAATCATACTTTACTTTTTAGCACAGTTAATTTATTCTAGTTTTTAAAAATACACTCATCAAAAAAAAAAAAAAAAGCCCCGCCGTTTCTTCTGCCAAAACTTGCTTGAATGCTCTAGAAACTCTGTGACATTTGTAACCAGGGAGTAAGTGTTTATTTCCAACAGAATTCAAAATATCAGTAGCAGTCATTTCTTGCAAAATGATCCAAACAGTTGTGGAACTGAAGCCTTGTATTTTGTAAGGCAAATTAATAATAAAAATCAGGCTGATGGGAAGAATTTCCATTGGCAGAGTGACCATGCACTTAAAGGTCATATAATTTCAGCCACCAAGTTAGTTGTGGTTATTATTACTACCATTTGACAGATGAGGAGACCACGGCTGTGAAGGAAATAAACAGGGACATTGCAGGGGTGCTGGGTGAGGATGGTGAACGTGACTGGTCTTATCTGGTGAAGGATACTTTCGGGACAATGGTGATGACCAAGATGGCAGGCAGTGGAAGGGTGTCTGAGAAAGCAGCTCAAGCAGAATCTTGATGGGCTGGGCTGTGCTCCTGGGTGGGCCTGGTGCATTCACCATGGTCTAAGGTCCAGCTCTCAACTGAGCATGTTCACGAGCACCATTTTGTCCACACAGCGATGGCAGATCTGTCTCCTGGGGCAGGCACACCTCAGCCAGGTGAAAAACCAGAATGGCCGTTTATTCACTTAATAGTGAGAAGTCTGACTACCACTGAACTCAGAACTCCAAGTGCACTTGTCTGGTACATTTGCTCCCTCAGAGTAGACAGTCATGGAGGGTTGTTGATGAGCATCGTTTGGAACATGAAGAGTTAGATGAACGGGCTATTTAGTGGCATCTGGTCACGGTACCTTGATGCATCTATCTGCAGCAGGGACCCCCTTGCCTTGCTAAGGGGACCGGAATCATGGAAGCCCTTGGCTTAAGACTCCATGTTTTGGGATGTCACTGGTATGGCACAGTCTACCCTACCCTGGGTAGTTTCCTGTCCTATGCATCTATGCTGACCAACGCCCCCAGGGATGGATAGACTCTTCAATTTTTAGAGATGCTCGGGGTGCCTGGGTGACTCAGTTGGTTAACCGTCTGCCTTCAGTTCAGGTCATGATCCCAGGGTCCTGCTCAGTGGGGGAGTCTGCTTCTCCCCCTCCCTCTGCGCCCCCCCGCTTGCACTCTCTCTCTCTCTCTCTCTCTCTGTCTCAAATAAATAAATAAAATGTTTAAAAAAAATTTTTTTAGAGATGCTTATTCCCTCTATCATGTTCTGTCCAGTCTTGCTAATCGGGAACCATGTTATCTCTTTAAGGTGTCATGTCCTTGTACCCTAACTGCTTTGTTTTCCATTTGACCCACAGAGGACAACACTAGTCTCACCACTTGAGTTGGGTCTTGTGTGTCTCAGGATAGGCTCCAAATACTTAAGATGGGTATTTCAGATGCTTAAAGACATCACTGTTTCCTTTGCTAAGAGGCACATCTCCTACTTTTTTTTTTTTTTTTTAGAGATTTTTTTATTTATTTGACAGAGAGAGACACAGCGAGAGAAGGAACACAAGCAGGGGGAGTGGGAGAGGGAGAAGCAGGCTTCCCGCGGAGCAGGGAGCCTGATGCGGGGCTCGATCCCAGGACCCTGGGATCATGACCTGAGCCGAAGGCAGCCACTTAACGACTGAGCCACCCAGGCGCCCCTCTCCTACTTACTCTTAACTAGGCATGTTTTTCAGGAGAATATGGTTCTTAGAACACAGTGATTATTGTTCTTGCTTGTATGAAGACTCCCACGCACAGTGGTAGCTATGGTTAGGATGGCACCTGTTCCTCATATGCTACCCAACAGTTTTCAACACATGTTTAATGTATTACCCGCTATCCTCTTTGGGATGCTTCCCTGGGGTAAATCAAGGAGCTGGGAAAGGGCTACATATAACTGATTTTAGGGAGGGAGGTGTGGGGACCCTGAAGTTAGGCTGTTCTAGCTAAGTCTGCATCCCAGCTAGTTCGAATCTCTGATTAGCCGTGTGACCTTGAAGAAATTGCTTAACCTCTCTGAGCCTCAGTTTCATCATCTATAATGTGGAGATAAGCATGTCTACTTTGAAGAGTTTGATGATAAATGACCAGTGAATCCCCTGGCCAACAGGAAGAGATCAAAGTAACAATCAGTCTTCTCCTTTCTACCTCCCACCGACCATCTCCTGTAGGTAACCCAGGGCTGAAACAGGCAGGCCAGGATGCACTTGCTACTTTTCTGTATATAGACAGTGCCGTGGCAGTCAGTTTTGAACTTACTATCATGTTCAATTTGTGTCAAGCGTAACAGTCATTATCTGTATTAACTTTAAAATGTTTAATATTTGGTTGACATTAATTAATTAATATAATATATACATACATTGTTAGACATGAACAAATGGATCAAATTTTAAAAAGAATTTGATTTTAGAAATTGGGACATTTGAAAAAGAAAATACTTTCACTTGTGTGATTATACTAAAAGTTTCATTTACTTTGCTTAAATCCGAATTTAAAACAGGAAACAGGAAATTGTTATAGTTGAATTGAAACAGGATATCAAAACAGGAAAATTGTTATAGTTACCAATAGTCCTCTGCTTTGCTTGTACTCTTTGAGGATGTTGTTGATATTTTCCACAAATCCTGTTTGGGCAACCCATCGAATGTTAAAATTCTCCTTCACAAAAAGTGCTTCCATTCTCAAATTGACCAGTAAATGGTCAAGGCACTCTTGCTAAAAGATAAAGAAATATTAGAGATTTGACTTGACTTTTCCTTCACTTTGACAGTTACAGACCAAAATCACTGTGATTTAAAGAAAAAAATACAGTCACAAAACATGGAAGACAATCAATGGTGGCATGGAAGACAATCAATGGTGTTGACAGAGCGCCCCCTGTGGTCTTCCGTGAGAATTCTAAACTCTTCCCACCTCTGTGCTCGGGACAGGCCGCATCCTGGCTCTTGGACAAGCAGCTCAGAGTAGGGGGATGCTGGAAGTCCCAGTGTAAGGTTTCTTTTTTTGCAAATTGTAATTGTTTCTATTCTTTGAATAGTGTAATCCCTTGGCTCAAAATCCAAAAGAAAAAGTATAGAGGAAAGCGTTCTCTTTGACCCCCATCACCACCCACCCGGCTCTGTTCCCCAGAGGCAACCAGTGACACCAGTCCTTCCAGAAACATTCTCAAAGGTAGTGTTTTGATGCAATTTATTCCTAATAATAATAATAAAATAATTTTAAAAAATTGTGTCCTAAAGCAAGCTCAAAGGGCACACTGCTGACTAAGGCTGGGTAAGTTTCTGTTGCAATGAAATCAGAAATCCCGGGTTCCTGTGTGAATTATACAAAGAGGCCAAAGAGAAGGACATCCAGTGTCTGTAAAGCATTTTCGTATCAAACAGGTTTTTTTTTTAAATTTTTATTTATTTATTTATTTGACAGAGAGAGAGACAGCGAGAGAGGGAACACAAGCAGGGCGAGTGGGAGAGGGAGAAGCAGACTCCCCGCCGAGCAGGGAGCCCGATGAGGGGCTCGATCCCAGGATCCTGGAACCATGACCCGAGTCGAAGGCAGACGCCCAACGACTGAGCCACCCAGGCACTCCCGTATCAGTTTTTCAAGTACGTTTTCTGACCAGGACCTCTGAGGGTTTTTCAGAAAAGAAAACAGCAGATCTCAGAAGACAAGAGGAAATTACTTTAGGGTAAAATGTTTAGCTGTTCAGGAGGGGCAAAGATAAACCTGGAAGCCAGGAATTCGGACTCCAAATCCCTCAAGAACCAATACATTTAGGAAAAGAATCTCTTATCTACTCACTGTTAAGTCCTTGGTTAGGAAAGCATTTTCTTTGGGTATTTTCTGGATTTTCCCAGGGCCAGTATTTTTACTGATGCACTGTTAGAGGAAAATAGAAATACTATTTGGTTTGCTTGTAAGATTTTAATACAAAATTTCTTAAATGAATGTCAATATAAATGAATAATTTTTTCTTTTTTTTTTGTAAAAGGGGGGTGCCCTGCGGGTATGCATTGATTCATTTGTTTTGCAAATATTCAACACTCGCCACTGCACGCCAGAGACTGCAGACAGAGACGAGTAAGGCAGGACCTGCCCTCAGGGGGCTTTCAGTCTGAAGGGGAGGCAGCAGTACACAGACGGTTAGGCGGATCACCTGCAGAGGGGCTGCTGGAGAAAGCGGCGCCTGGCCCTTGCGGGAGGTGGGAAGGAGGCACAGAGGTTTTCCGCGAGCATGAAATCTGAGCTGCAGGTTAAAAGATGAGTAGGGGAAGGCTACACTCGCTGCGCTAGCTGGGCTACAAGGTGACAAGTGGCCTGGACTGGAGAGACAGCCCCCACAAACCTAGAGCCCCTGGAAGCCGCCAGTAGGTTTGGGGAAACTGACCATATCAGTACTTTGGGTCAAGGACACATTTTAGTAACCCCCCTGTGGGATTCATGTGTGTCTTGGCCCCACAGTGGCCTCTCCCACTCCCTTCTGTGCACAGACCAGAGAAAGGACATCTTGATTGTAAATTTCCCAACACATACAGTGCAGAAGCAGATAGTGACTTTGGTTTTCAGGATATTCCATTTGGGGAGTCCCCAGTCTTGTTAGCACCCCCGATTCCATTGCTATACTTTAAGGGCTAAAACAGTTTAAGAAATGCAATCAAATATGGGATGGAACAGCTGTACCTTGACCAAGTCTTCCAGGGTATGAACAGACTCGTCCACTGCAACCAGGTAATGAAGCTTTGGCACGTGATCTATGATGTTCTGTATCACTCTGCAGCCCACCAGGAAAAACCACCACCAGGGGAGAAAGCAAAAGAGATGGAGTCAAGGAGAGTCCACCGACCACCGCCCCTGGGAGCCGGGCAGTATCTCACTCCATTTCCAACATGGTCAGGGTGGGACGATGATCTCTACACACATGGAAGCTGGGATGGTCAAGGAACGCATCTCAGGCTGAAGAGCCACTGGGGAAAGTGGAAAGGCCAGGACTCCAAGGCCGATCCATTCAGCTCCAGCTTCGCCCAGTGCGTTGCAAAGAGCACCTGACCTCCGGGGCAGGACTTCAGTTCGTGAAGTCCGCTCACCTGGCGCTCCTGTGAGTCTCTCAACAGTGCTTTGGGGAGGGGCATTCACAGAGTCAGACACAGATCGGGAGAAGCCGTGGCTCTCTTAGGGGAACCACTGGTCAGTAAGAAGCAGTACGGGGACTACGATTTCCTACCCCTGGTGAATCATGACTCCCGACATTTCGGAGAGCCTACCTTTGGATGAAGACTGTGCTATGGGCTTTCCTGGCACTTTTATTTATTTATTTTTTTAAAGATTTTATGTATTTATTTGAGAGAGAGAGAATGAGAGATAGAGAGCACGAGAGGGAAGAGGGTCAGAGGGAGAAGCAGACTCCCCGCTGAGCAGGGAGCCCGATGTGGGACTCGATCCTGGGACTCCAGGATCATGACCCGAGCCGAAGGCAGTCGCTTAACCAACTGAGCCACCCAGGCGCCCCTTTCCTGGCACTTTTAGATGCTGGACACTATGCCACCAGATACAAAACAGAGATAATAAGTAGACCTTGTGCACAGGGTTGTTGTGAAGAACAAATACAGTGACACATGTAAGGGTCTTAGCGCTTGGCGAGTGCTCCCTAAGTGTTTGCTTAAGCACAAACACATTAGTCAATTACTTCCGGGGAAGTCCTAGCTCTAGGAGAACACTTACCCTGCTAGGTCAAGGACATGAATTGCTGGAATTACATTTGTTCCATCTCCAAACACGGGTAATGCAGGGACCTCACCCAACCAAGCGATCTGAAAGAAAAGCAAAAGCGTATTTTCCACTAGTTTTATGTAACTATTACAGCTCACACACAGCCATAGTCTGGGGCATCCAAAAGACCCAGCTGTCTGATGATGTCATCGCCTAAAGGGGATGTTTTGAAAATCAGCTCTGATGAGATTTAGTTGCTGATCAAAGCCTATTAAGAGAAACTAACCTCAGGCTGAAATACTTTTCAGGAAATCTACAATCTCATGGGCTGTCTTCAGTGGTCATTGGCATGGTGTCTACACAGAAGGGATATGCTTTCACATACATGACACCTTCCATTCTCACACACACAAAAAATGAGAATGAAAGTCTAAAATTACTCCCATGGGCTGGAGTAATTGTTATCAGTTCAAAGATGAAATGCTTAGTAGATAAAGCATCTGATGAGTCGCTGAGCCTGGATTTGAACCCTGATCTTCAGAGTCCAAACCCTTGTCTTTTCCCTGCATTTAAGTATTTCAGTAAAGAAAAAGACAATCTGGATAGTGTTTATTAGCTGTCAGGTACTAGATTATTTTAAATTGCTTTTTAAGAGTGAAAGAGGTAGGGGTGGGGGCCACAGCAGACCGCTGGATCTTGTAAGGTATTTTGGGCTTTGGGAAACCATTGAAGGGTTTTAAGCAGTGAAGTGACATCATTAGATTTGCTTTTGTTGCCTCGTGAAGGAATGATGTAAAGTAAGAGTCTAAATGGGGAGGTGGAGTCCAGGCAAGTTGTGTGGACAAGAGATGTCCTTTAGCTTGTGGGGGGGGCAGCTGTTGGGGGAGTGGGGTTGGAGAGAAGGAGATACTGAGGCGGTTGGCTCTATTATTACTGGGAGATTTTGTGGCGGATGAGAAAGAGCAAGGAGTTGGATGCTGGTTGGTGCAGCTGGATAGAAGAAGGTCCCATTTTCTGAGATGGGGTCCTGGAGGTTGGGGGTGACTGTAGGTAGAGTTTGGGTTTGTGAAACATTCCAAGTCGAGGTGCTGAATAGGCAGCCAGATTCACAAAGCTAGGACTCAGGAGTGAGCCCTGCTGGAGAATGATATTTGAGCGTCATTGGCACCCAGTCATGGGAATGGACAGACCAACCCAGGAAAAGAGTGTAGATAGAGAAGACAGGAGGGGGGGCGCCTGGGTGGCAAAGTCAGTTAAGCGTCCAGACTCTTGGTTTCAACTCATCATCTCAGTGTTGTGAGATGGAGCCCTGTGTTGGCCTCCGCACTGAGTGCGGAGTCTGCTTGAGATTCTCTCTCTCCCTCTCCCTCTACCCCTCCCACTTGTGCTCTCTCTCTCTCAGATAAATAAATAAATCTTAAAAAAAAAAAAAAGGCAAGAAGGTCTGGGCAGAAACCTGAGAAAGCCAAGATTCAGTGGTCAGGTAGGTGAGGAGCAGCTGAGAATAGACAAGGACAAATGAACTTCATTGCCTACCACTCTCCTGTACTTTGGCTACACTCGTCTATTTGCTGTTCCTTAACACAGTCTGCACATTTCTGCCTTAGGTCTTTGAACTTACAAATCCTATTGACTTTCCCCCAGAAAGCAAAGTAGCCAGCTCCCTTGTCACTTTCTGCTCAAGTGTCATATCATAGGAAAGGCCTTCCCTGATCATCATATTCAAGATACAACCTGCCAACCCTGCTGCTGGCTTTCTTTCTATCTTTCTCTGTTTTGTTGCTTTCCATATAATTTTCTTTTTTTTTAAAAGATTTTTATTTATTTATTTAACAGAGATAGAAAGCACAAGTAGGCGGAGTGGCAGACAGAGGGAGAGGGAGAAGCAGGCTCTCCGCCGAGCAGGGAGCCCAATGTGGGGCTCCATCCCAGGACCCTGGGATCATGACCTGAGCTGAAGGCAGCCACTTAACCGACTGAGCCACCCAGGTGCCCCTCCATATAATTTACAACATCTGAAATCCTTTATGTGTACTGGTTAATTTGGTTCTTATCTTGTAGTCACTAAAAAGTCATACCTTAAAAAAATAATGTAAGATGCCTCCTTCTACTCCATACTGAAGTCCAGCAGCAACCACGTAAGTTGCAAATTTTTTGGCCTATTAGATAAAGGAGAGGAAAAAAGCTAAACGTAGTGTTATTAATCATACCAAACCAGATTATTTTAGTGGTTAAAATGAGTCCTACATGAATGCCTCTGACCACTATTAAAATTTATTTGGGACTTTTAATTGAATGAAAGCCAGGGATAATTATTTGTGAAGACTTCACACCTGCATGCACTATGCTGGCACCTACAGGAAAGGGAACATATAAAGATGGGTCCTTCCATGATGATCTTTACTTACGCAGTAGGGGAGGTGGACATACATAGGGAGTTTTTAGTAATGGGCCACAATATAAGGTGGGATATTGTGATTCACAATAAGAAATATATATTTGGTCTTCATCTCCATATCTGGCATGAGTTCTCAGAACTATGGGAATTTCCAAGCAAACAGAGTGATAAAGGTGTCTTTTGTTATGTTAATCAGGTGACTTTGGAATCCAACCTGAAGATGTGGGTTGATTGCCAACTTCCAGCTCCCCTGCCATCTCCAGGGATATGGAGATCAAGTTCAATCACCAATGACCAATGATTGTCTCAAACATGATGAAGCCTCCATAAAAACCCAAAAGGAGAAGGTTTGGAGAGCTTCTGGGTTGGTGAACCAGGGGAGATTTGGGGAGAGCAGAGAAGCTCCATGCTTTTCCCCAAACCTTGCCCTGTGCATCTTTTCCATCTGGCTATTCCTGAGTTATATTCTTTTATTAGAAACTGGTAATCTAGTAAGTAAAATGTTTCTCTGAATTCCGTGAGCCACGCTTAGCAAACTAATCAAACCCAAGGCTTGGGGAGGTGGGAGGGGTCACTGGAACCTCCAACCTATAAGAGTTGGTCAGAAGCACAGGTGATAGCCTGGGCTTGCCACTGATGAGGGATAGAAACAGAAAAATGTCCACCTTTAGCCCAGGAGGCTAACCTAGCCTGCATAGTTTTGGTAAGGATCAAATATGTATTGGTTGCTACATTCTTTTTTTTTTTTTTTTTAAGTAAGCTCCACGCCCAACATAGAGCCCAACGTGGGGCTTGAACTTATAACCCTGAGATCAAGACCTGAGCTAAGAGCTTAATCAACTGAGCCACTCATGCCCCCTGGTAGCTACATTCTTAAAGGGTCTCATGACTGCCTGTATATTTCACTGATGGTTAATATGGAACTGAATGATAAGCACCAGAGAAATCTTACAAAAGTAGTTTTACAAGTAGAAATTCAAAGAAACATTTATGATCTCATACCCCCTGCACGTCCCCTCCCCCCTTGAACACTAAGCATATAACCACCAGCTTCATACAGCAAAAGTGCAGCCCTTTCTGCCCACAGGTCCTGTCCCATGCTACTTAAATAAACTTGCTAAGTTATACCATACAATATCTCAGGAATTCTTTCTTGACAGTTGTGCTCAACGACCCCACAACACAACTGGTGTTGGAAGTGGGGGGCAGTCTTGTAGGAATGAGCCCTAAACCTGTGGGATCTGATGCTACTTCTAGAAAGATAGTGGCAGAATTGAGTTGAAATATAGGATGCCCGGCAGGTGCCCAAGAATTACTTGGTGTCATGGGAAACCCCTCCCAGAGTGCATGAGCACACATTTTGAAATTGGGAACCTTTATCAGGAAAATGAGTCTCTCCTCTGCTCCAGGTAATCCATGGGGGATTAAAAAAATCTAAAACCTCCAAGTGCAAATACCTAGGAATGCCATATAAAATGCCAATAGTATCCTTCGAGGATGGCAGAATTCTCAAGGACATAATAGCTATCCTCAGGGGCCAAAAATAGAAGTGAAAACAAGAGTGATGAAGGGTGGACAGTGTGGGCACCCTGGGAAGTTGAGGGTCTCATGATCTAGGTGCATGGGTTTTGAAACCCATGTAGGTAGAGGAGACAAACACTTGATCTGGTGAAGTTAGGAGTTGGGCCGCAATACGAAGGGTTCATCCACAACAAAAGGGTGAACTGGAAAAACTCCAACCTGTGGCAGAAGAAGGTGACAAGGAATTGTGTCAAATCTAGCCAAGGCTCCCTTGAGAAATTTAACCTTGACCTTGTACTTCTCGATGGTTTGTCTTTCACATTTAAATTACCTGCTTGATGTAGGGATTCCAGAACCAAAAATTAACATAAAAAGCATTTCAGGCAGTGAGACTCTTGGGGCACTTTAGAGAGGCAAACCAAAGCTCCCTGTACCTCCCCCTGCCCTGGGGACCTCCCCTGTCCTTTAAAACCCCAGTAAAGGGACAACAGCTGGGGCAAGGGTGGTGACCTCACTGTAGCAGATGGGTGCTGGTTTGAGGGCACAGCATTGACTGTCAAGCCAATTACAAATCATAAGGCATATTCTCATTGTGAATTCCCATTTCACACTGACCATCATGAATCTTGAAGGCATCAGATCCCTGAATATACTTGAGACTTTTATAGCAGCACTTTTGGAAGATACACTTTACACTTTGATACAAAGTGCATTTTGCCCACTTTTCCCTGAGAATTCTGTTACATGAGGTTTTTAGGGGTGATGAGTTATAAAGAAATGGATGTTGACAATTTATTTATTTATTTATTTATTTTTAAAGATTTTATTTATTTATTTGACAGAGACAGAGACAGCGAGAGCAGGAACACAAGCAGGGGGAGTGGGAGAGGGAGAAGCAGGCTTCCCACTGAGCAGGGAGCCTGATGTGGGACTCGATCCCCGGACCCTGGGATCATGACCTGAGCCGAAGGCAGCCGCTTAACGACTGAGCCACCCGGGCGCCCAGGATGTTGACAATTTAAAGAGATGCTATTTTTAAAAATCCATGCCAAATTACAGGATTATCTTTACAACTGGAATTCCAGAAATCACAAGAAAATATGCTTACTAATAGAAACTTTGTACTAAAAGACCTTACTAAAGATGAGCTCACAAACCAAAATTATAAAACTTATGAAGGAACAATCCACCATGAGTGAAATCAGACTTGCATTGCCTTCAGAAAATAAATTAGTAGAGATTCTGAAATAAATATGGTTACAATGATGAAAAAATTAAGAAATGGGAAACAAAGGGAAAAAACAAGATGATCAGGACAGTGATAATGATGATGATAAAGAACAGGCAGGTGGGGGGTTGTCTGGGTGGCTCATTTGGTTAAGTGTCTGCCTTTGGCTCAGGTCATGATCCCAGGGTCCTGGGATGGAGTCCTGCACTAGGCTCCTTACTCAGCAAGGAGCCTGTTTGTCCCTCTGCCTTCCATTCCCCCTGCTTGTGCTCTCTCTCTCTCTTTTTCTGATAAATAAATAGATAAAATCTTAAAAAAAAAAAAAAAGAATAAGCAGGGGGTAGAGCAAGGAACAGAGAACAGGAGAGAAGGGGGCTGACTAAGGTGGAGAAAGGAGAAGAGTTGATCACGTCTTAGCCTCCCTCCTTCCTGCATTCATGTGAGGCTGAGTCAGGCTGAGTTGGCCGGAGAGAAGTTGAAAATCAAATGATAGACTCATGACTTTAGTTCAACCTGTCTGAGCCTTTGTAAGAACTAGAAAAGACTCCATTAATACCTGAGAATGGTCTGGAAAGCTGCGGACTTGGCTAGAAATATTGTCCTGCTCCAATTATTAAGAAAAAAATGATTTTATAGTTTCATTCCAACAATGTCTAACACTGTGAAGGGGTTACAGGACTGTGCCTTGAAATGAGCAAGGCAAAGATCTAACTTAATTTCAAGGAGATATGGATACATTTACTCCATAGTGGGAGATTTTTTAGTATACCCCTTCCTAGTAATTGATAGATTCAGAAGACCCCAAACTAGTAAGATATGCAAAACACCATTAAGAAACTTGACCTAAGTAGACATATATGGAAACTGAAGGCAGATGCTTAACCGACTGAGCCACCCAGGTGCCCCTCAGTTTTACATCTTGGTTACAGCATTTTTTTTTTTTTACCTGACTAGTTTTTAGTTCTTTTATCTCTGCAGTGTCTTCTATGCTTTTCTCAAGCCCAGCTAGTATCCTTATAATTGTTATTTTCAATTCTGGCTCAGGCTTATTACAGGTTTGAAAGGCACAGGTTTCTCAAGTCCGTATGGAATTTTTTTTTTTTTAAAGATTTTATTTATTTATTTGCAGGAGTCAAAGAACACAAGCAGGGGGAGCACAAGAGGGAAAGGAGGAAGAAGGAACCCCACTAAGCAGGGAGCCCGATGTGGGACTCGATCCCCGGACCCTGGGATCATGACCTGAGCCGAAGGCAGTCGCCCAAACAACTGAGCCACCCAGGCACCCCAAGTCCGTATGGAATTTAAAATAAAAACAACACTGGCCGTGTACTACGTAGCAAAGCATCTCACCAAAAACTACAGCATCGCCACCGCCCAGACCACATCCTCTGACCAAAAAGCAATTCAGTGAAAAATGAACAAAAAGAGATAACACTAGAGGAGGAGTTAAGCTGGCGTAAGGGGACCCTATGCTTGCCGCATCCCTCCAACACAGCTAGATAAATATCTAATCATTCCAGACACCCAAGAACTCGATCTGAATGCTGAGAGAACAAACTGCAGAACTAGAGAGACAAAAGAAGCCACATTATGGAAGGTAGGAGGTGCAGAGATATGATTCCAGGGAGAAAAGAATCATGGGTGCTGCAGAAAGGAGGGAGCCTCTCGGAGAGAGGAGAGAGAGAGAAACAGAGAAAGCAGCATGCAGGGGATTGCACAAGAGAAACAGTTCCCCAAAACCACTGACTGGGAAAACTAGAGTGACTGATGACAGCAAGTTTTTACAAGCATTGGAGCCCAAAGTCTGAAGTTTTAGAAGTCTGCGCTACTGCTGGGTGGAACCTGGTGGGCATAGCAGTACTCCTGCATGGAAGGAGGGAGTGGGCAGTGTGGTCTGAGGATCCCCTGGGTCACACTAGGAGACAGTGTTCCCCTTCTTGGAGTGCATTTGGGAATGGTAGTGGTGGTACAGCCTCTCCAGGGACAAAAGAGCTGGCAGGCACCAGTGTGCC